AAAGGACAAATGGCAGATAATGGATGCCAAAAGGTCTCAGCCTGGGGAAAAGGGATAAAGTCAAACACAGGGCCTGCCTGAATAGCAGGAAAAACTGATCCTGCTTTGAGATTGGAAGAAAATAAGACTGTTTATAGAGAAGAAATTGCGAGGATTCACAAGTCATTTCCCCACAATGACCTCAATTTTCTCGTTAAAATAGTAGGTGCCCTGAGAGCAAAGCGGGGAGATCTGTAACTTGACTGGGGTGACAATCCTGAGAGTGTCTGGCTGCAGTCAGTAGAGAAGGATTACTGGGTACCATTCAGAGACTATGTCAGATTAACATGAAGAGTCAGCACAGTGGTGGTATAGTTTGCTCCTGTGGCACTTACTAGGAGGTATAAGGGTACAGTGGAGTCATGGCAGTGTAGCTTCAAGGTCATATGATCTAGGGCAGAAGAACAATAGGGAGAGCAATGCGGAGCAAGTGGCTAGTGTACATGCCAAGTCTCAACCTGTCTGGAAGAGTATAGGAAGATCAAAGGCACTGGATGCTCACTAAGTCTTTAAAAAGTAGGGGGAAATAAAAGCATTGCCAGATTTCTTATCTTAATTTTTCCCACCCTTTTTATGTTCGGGCTTACTATTTTAAAATACACATTATAAATACAAAATTAGGAAGAAGCCAATAAGAAGAAATTTAAAAACACAAGTGGTCAAACAACAGTATTGTTCACTTAAACAGAAGCGAGGCATTTTAACTGAGGTGATACTTTGGAGGCGAGAGCTTTTCTGTTGGATGTAGATAAGTCTTTGAGGTCCTAGATTTGAGGTCACGCCTGACTGGTGATTTTCAGATGCGGGTTATTTTGGTTCAGTGAGACAATGGTCAGTGTTCAAAAACATTGTACAGTGGAGTACTAGTGTCAGGTGGAAGGGAAGTGATGCTAAACATCCCATAATACATAGAGTTCCATCAACAGTGGTGGTAACTGTGGCAAGATTAAGAACCATACATTAGGTCAAATCTGTATTAAAGTCACAGAAGAATAAGAAATCACTTGGGTAATCACAGAGATGGATAGAGAAGAAAAAGAGAATGAGGAGCAGGAATACACCAGCCGACGCCAGACAGAGCTGTATGCACGCAGGGCTGGTTTGTGAGAGGAAGCATGAATCTCCAGGGAGTTAGATATGTGCTACATGTTTGAAAAGGATTCCCAGGATAGCAAATTTGTAAAGCATACTTGGAGACGAGGAAATCAGAGGAATTGAAGAGAACCCATTTGCTTTGGCAAAGTCATGCTCTAGGTACCCTTGAATAAACGTGTTCATATAAATGTGGGGGAAAGGTCCCTGTTGGTTTGAAATAAATCTATGATCTCTGATATTGCACAAGAAATCTCTGGCTTCTTTTTAAGGTTCTAACAGTCCTCTGCATTGCACAGTAGCTTCTTTCTTTTAGCTTTAATTCTGGTTCTCTCAACACAGATAGACATTGCCTTGGTGGTCAGCTAGAGCCAGCCGTTAGTTCTCCCTACACCAGGGAAGAAACACTATCTGCTGTAGTTATCTGCTATAGTTCAGACAACAACTAAACAAACATCACCTCACTCTGCAGTCCTTTTCCCACTGCCGTGCTGAGCTCTCAGTTTCCTCGGCTGATATGTTATGATGGCCAGGACACACATATTTAGGAAGACTTCAGGAATTGTTATACTAAGATGTTTGGCTTTTTGCTTATTGTTACCGCTGCTGTTGTTTTTTCATTTTGATGTAAGCTCCCTCTGTGTAATAGCCCACTCAGGATGGCCTAGAACTCACTAATAGATGAGGTCCTGGAATTTCTGCTCCCCATGACTTTATCATCAGCCTGGCCTTCTAGCCTTTGCAGAGTCTACGTTGCATTAACTAGCCTTCCTTGAGAAGCAGGTAGACCAAAAGTGTATCACACTGGGAACAGTCTTGGGATTTCCTAATCCCTCTCTGCTTTATTTATTTGAGTAGCTAAAGAGCCAAATTGACTTGAAATGAAGTAAAATTGGCACAAGTTTTCTACATATATACATTAAAAAAAGCTAAACGTTTCCTTTGTGTCCAGTTTAGTTCTGGCTGAACAACTTTGGGGATGTCAATAGTTAAGTCAGGATATGAAAAATGGGAAAGAACATCTGGGCTTTACACAACCTCACATTTGTGTAGGAAAATCCCAACCAGATTATCATGAAGGAGAACCTGGCAACTTAATTGGTGGTACCCAGAAATGGTTATTTTTATGCCAAGGCAAATAGTTATAGTCTTTACATTTTTAATAAGTGAATGGGTAAATCTGTATTCAATTGCATTTTATTATAGATAATGAAATGTTAAAATATACGTACAGAATACATTCTCCTTTTAAAAATAATATAATATTCTTCTGGCAAAATTGAGGAAGGTACTTATATGCCTCACATTAGTAAATTCATCTCATTGGTTAATATTTTAAGAATTTACTAGCAAGTGCTGGATCTTATCACCATTGTTCTATGTGAACAGGAGGAGCATCGCACCCGTCTCTTGTGTAAATCATGCAATGCTGAGTCACTGGGGCTTCCTAAAGATTCCCACCTGAACTTTTACCCTGTATCTTCTTCTAATTTCTCTCAGTGGCAGTCACACGGTCAAACATAACACAGAACTGCATCACTTCTTATCTGGTATCTACCACTAGCATGTAATTCCTATAGTGTCAGTATATTGGTGTGCGTTGTTCACTGTTCTTTCTTCACTTCCAGGAAAAACCACAATTGTTATATAAATGAATTAAATTAACTTTCTAATGATGGAACCAGGTATGGGGTGTTTTCATTGACCTTTTTTGATTTTCATTTTGTGTGTGTGTTGAGATGGGGCCTCTCTGTTGTTCTGGCTGACCTGATACTTGTGGTATAGACTGAGTTGGCCTCAAATTTACAGAGATCCACACGCATCCACCACCTGGACTCCCTTCAGCTTTACAAAGTGAACCGTTTCAGTTATTTGATTACTTTAGTTTTAAAACAAACAAGCAAAATTTTTCCATGAGCAGCTCTAGGTCCTGTCCCTACGAGCTCAATTGGGATCTGCATAAGATCCCTTAGGACCTCATCTCACCCCAGGGAACCTTGTTAGCCCTCCTCAGTCACTGGGAAGTGATCAAAGTCTCTAGTGAGGGTAATAAAGTTGATGCAAGTAAGATAACAAAGGGAGTTGGTGGGGCCACCTCTGTCACTCTTAGACATGTTTGCCTAACTATTTTCCACAGCAGTCGATTTGTAATTGCGGCCAAAGAGCCTTCTCTTCCTCACAATCTCTAAGTTCTTATATTTACTCCACTTAAAGAGCTGCTTTCATCTTATAAAACAATACCTTGAGTATGGGCTGAAACAGCGCAAAGTTCTCACCGGAACAAAATCTTGGGTTTTTGTGGTTAAGGCAAGACATGATGTCAAAACAATCGTAATCTCCAGATAGTTCTCAATTTGCTTGGGATTTCATTACATAGCCTCTTATAATCTAGCCCTTTTTATAAATCATGTATTGAATTAATAATGAAACTAGCCCTGGGTAACATATTCACTGTATAACTATTGACAACAGAGACCATATCTTACTCATTTCCAAATAACTAAAAGATTTAATTCATTGATTTATGTATGGTAGATCCTAAATAAACAAATCAACTTTTAGGTGAATAAGAAAAATCAGACAGCAGACAAGCCTGGGCAAATCAAAATAAAATTACAATCGGTGACAATTGGTCTCACAGTCTCAACAAGGAAGAAATCCTCTACTGTGTAAGAGAATCCCATCATGGTGAACATGAGCCCACACTGTAATTATAACTTTGAAATGCAGTTTACATCAGGTATTATTATAACAAGCTGTTTAACAATAGCTTAGCTTGTTTCTTTACCAGTCTTCTATGGTAGAAATGATACCCAAGATATCTGGAGGATTCAAAGGAATCACCATTTCATAGATGTCAAATTTTTCTAACAAAATAAATCTTATACTTTTTAAAAGGCAGAGATTGAATTCACTATATACATAATACACACATGTGTACACACATACACACGCATGCACACATGCACTCACACATGTGCATACATGTACGCACACAGACATGTATACACACACACATACTGCTTTGAGATTGTCACACAACATATCTTGATCACATTTATTACCAATCTTCCTCATGATCTCTTCCAGATGCACCCTCTCCCGCCTCTGTAATGATCCTCTTTTTTTCCTTTTATTCAGAAGAGACTGTCTCACAGGGATGCTTGGTTCTTTTGCTTTTACAATCTTTCCACCTTCTCTCTCATAAAGCTCTCTGAACCTGAAGAGCAGGGTTTGTGAAACTAGCTCTCACTACATAACTCTGGTTAGCCTGGCTGGATTCACAGAAAGCCACGTGCCTCTGCCTCCCAAGTGCTGGGATTGAATGCATATATCACTGTACCTGGCTGTCAGTCTAATTCTATAACACACAAGAAATAATGTGTATAGACCTGCCTAGTATTTATTTTTGTGCAGTTGGTGCTATCTCCTAAACATGAGAGCAACTGTATGTAGGAATATTCTCTAGTAAAATATTTTTTTAAAAAGATTACTCCTAATGGAGCTAAATACTACAATTCTGGTATGTATAAACTCTCAAGGATCTTAAAGATATGTTTAAACTACGTAATTTAGGAGCTGGAGAGATGGCCTAGTGGTTAAGCACACTGGCTGTTCTCCCAGAGGACCCAAGGTCAATAGCCAGAACTCGCATAGCAGCTCATACCTGTTTACAGTTCCAGGGTTTCTGACACCCTCGCAAAGACATTTTTCAGGCAAACACCAATGCACATAAAATAAAAAGTATATGCATTTTAAGAAAGAACGTTTTTTGCTTTCCCAGTTCCACTTTAGCGATCATAACCTGGGATGATTACACGGTTATATGCAATGTTTGAAAGCATGAGAATAAGAAGGGGGCAACTCACCTTGAGATCTCATCAACTGCAGTATCCTCCGAAGAGTCTATGCTTCTGAAAATATTCTTTCAGTCTGTTGATATCCTCTTATTTTTTCCTAAAAAGAAAAAGGAAACCATGTTTCAATGTTACATAAGATTCTATTTTCAAAGGGTAAAACTGTCTGCAAGATGCAAATGTATTTGTTACATGTAGAGAAACAATGGAAATCTTGAAATATATATAAGGCAATGGGTATAGGAAAGGACAGCATTTTGCATATAACATATTGGATGAAGAATATTCTAGAAGGATGTGGTGAAATTGTAATTTTTGAAATTAGACTTTCACTCATTTATTAATGTGTTATGAAAAAGCTGTGAGAGATATATCTGTTTTGTTAATCCACTTTACATTAGATTATAAAATCTAACCACTAGGAGATTCATACAGATAAGATAAACAAAATTATTGACAAAATAAGCTTTTGATGGTTGAGAATTACAGTGGCTGATTTTTTTTAATTTGCTTAAAGCAAACTATTTAATTAGGAAATTAACTCACGTATATGCCCAGTTTTAGGATAACCTGGGCTTCCCAGAAACACACACAGGCCATAGATGTAACTCAGTACAGGAATGAGTGCTTAGCATGGCCAAGTCCTGAGTTCAACTCCTAGTATCACATAAACATGAACTCTTTGGAATAAACACCTATTAACCAAATCTTAGTCATTTTAGAATTATATTTTATTATACAGATTTAAGTGATCAGTGTAACAGGCTTAAAGAGGTCATGAAATCCTTGCACTAATGATGTACTTTTATTTAATCAAATAAAGTGTATGTAATCATTTTCTCTAGATCATTAATAAAATGTATACTCTCAAATATTTAGAAAAATTTAATACATTAAAGAATAAAATCTAGCAGGGCACAGTACTCTATGTAGAATCCCTTAACCAAGTGAGATAACTATTTGAATCTAGAGATCTGAGAACAGCCAGGGCACACAGTGAGACTACGTCTCAAAACCAAACCAATAAAAATTTCCATTACTTAATACTGAAGTAGAAAAGCCTCGAGTGGCCTTCCTTTCACTGTATTTCAGCAGTTACCAATAGCAATAGCGAGTGAAGACATGAGACAAATGGGTTACTTGAGTGAAGAAATAAGCAACTTGCACTGATCATTTTATCAAACTTCACAGGTCAAAACTCTGGAAAGATAATAATCGTCGCAGGAAGACTTTGCCTCCAGAGAGCTGTTCCTTTATTATTACTAAACATATACAGGCAAGACTAGAGATTGGGATCAAACTTGATTATCTGTAATACAGTAGTACAGAAATATCAAGTTGCAGTTAGAAGTGAAGGCAGCAGAAGTTCTGGGTCCAGCTTGTTTCTGAGCAATCTTGCATACATTAGAACTGAAGCTATCTCAAAAAGACTGATTCAAGATTTTTTTTTCAATATAATTGTAAATATCTTAAAATTTCATTGAGAACATTACAGTCTCAAATGACAGTACATTAGAGACCAGGAAAAGATAACTTGAATAAGAATTGGATTTTTTTAAATGTGTGTTTATATGTGTGTGTGCCAAGAAAGAAGTATGTGGGGTGTCAGGGTAGGGAGAGAGAGAGAGAGCGTGGTGAATGCCAAAGAAGCAATGAGTGAGTTGACGTGCATAGGAGCTTGTAGCAATCACACGTCAATCTCAGACATTGCTTCTTTGGCATTCACTATGCACCTTTTTTATTTTTTAAATTTATGCCTGTGTTCACATTTGAGTGTGGGTACAGGAGTGTCAAGGCTTCCAGGGGCCACAGTGTGCTTGTGAAAATCAGCAGCCAGCCTTGTGTATCAATATTTACCTTGTTTCAGACAGGGTCTCTCATTGATTGCTGCAGCATACACCAGGCTAGCAGATCTGTGAGTTTTAGGACCTCTCCTGCCTCATCTCCCATATCTGAGCATCAGCAGCATCAGCAGCCCTATCTAAACTCCACTCTATTTCTACTCCCAGTAGCTGAAGAGAAAATTGGGACTGGAGATAGCAAAGGTCTGAGTTACTGACATAACTTTAAAGCTATGATTGCAGACTTTCAACGTATGCCCAGTAGTACCCTTGTTAACACATGCTTGAATTCTGTGATACAAATATGTATCTCTATCTCTATCTCGATAGATAGATAGATAGATAGATAGATAGATAGATAGATAGATAGATAATCTAACCATATCTAAATCATCTCTATCTCTAGATAGATAGATAGATAGATAGATAGATAGATAGATAGATAGATATAGATAGATAGATAATCTAACCATATCTAAATCTATATATCTACACACACACACACACACACACACACACATATATATATATATATATGCTGGTTTTGAATTTTCCTCCCTGCCTCTTCCTGTTTATCATCTGTTTATATTATCACCTCTAGAAAAATTAACATACAACAATTCTGGTTACTCCATTTGCTGTCACCAAGTGAGGGGGGCCTCACTTCATGGGGGTCTGTGTATTGTTAACCTTCAATCCTATCATAGCAGAGATATTTCCCTCTGCTATCTAAGAACACTTTGTCCTCTGAAGCCTCTGATCCCATGGCCTCTCACTGGTATGTCATCACAGCTTCAAGCACATGCTTTCTTTCCCACATGGTTTTATCCACATATGCTAGGAGACCTCCCATCTTGAGAACACACATTGTCTCTTACAGGTTCTTCTCATCTCATTATCACCAAAACTTCTCAAAGAAGTCCATTCTCCAGTTCTCAGCAAAGATTCTGAAGTCATTCAAACTACGTTTCCTCTCCACGGCTCCGTGAAGACTTCCTTGGGTCAGCAGTAAACATGATCTTTACTGTCCCAACAGAGACTTGTCAGTTCTTTACACCATCAATGCCCCAGTAGAGTTGGACCAAGGTGACTACTATCCATTCCTTGAATTATTTCATCACGTGACTTCAAAGTGAGACTATATTGTTCTGGCTTCTCTCCTACCTCCCGTACCAGCTTTTCTTAATCTTTTTAACAAATTAGTTATGAGTTGTTTACTTATTCTAACATAAGAAACCATATCCAGCACTATATCTTTAAACAGTGCCATTTATAAATAAATCTAGAAAAATTCAGGACTCTAGAGCAAACTTCTACCTTGAGCTTGAGAGTAGCAGGCTCTTTACATTTTATTTCACAGTTGTACTTGAGTAACCAACAGCTTTCTTATATCCGAAATATCCACAGATAAAGTAAAAGGGAGGAATTGTACCCCAAAGCGTAAAAGTGTGCATTTTGCCTCATTTTTGAAAAAGCAATATGTTAATATCTATTATGTTAATTTCTCCACTTGATGCACCTATCCTCAGAATTGAAGCAGTTAATAGATAAGGACACTTGAAACATTCTGTATTGGGGCATATTCAGAGTAAGACTAAAAACTACAATAGAGGGAAGATGCACAGGGGAATTGTTGGTTAACTTTTGCATCCTCATAAGTTAGAATGCTATATAATCATTAAAAAATAAATAAACCTAGGATACAAAACATTGAAAACTTCCATGAAGTCCTATACAGTGAGAAAACAAGTTTCAGAACAATGCATGTGATTCATATTTTCACAAAATGTTTTTATGGGAATGTGTATATTTAGCTTAAAATATGAAAGGTTATAAAGCAGGCTGCAGAAGAGTTACCTACAGGGGGAAGAGAGAAAAATTAGCTTAAATTAAAAAAAAAGAGAGACATTAAGCAATTTCTACAATATGAAAATAAATAAAAACATCTGACTATGTGAAAGATATTCATTTGTTTCCAAGTAAGCAACTTTAAAGTATAGAACTACTTATAAACACACTTGCAAACAGACTGAAACAGTGTCCACCAATTTTTTGGACAATTTTCAAAAATATTTTGTAATTTTCAAGTTGATATTAATGGTCCTTATGATGAATGGTGCTAAAATTGACCAGGTTCCTAGAAAATACTTAGAGTTCCTAGAAAGTTCTTATAGATGGTCTTGGGAAAATGTCTACATTGAACATTGTATGGTGTGCTTTCATGCTCAACCACCTCTAAGACAACCACTTTTAAGTGGCTATCAACCACTTAAAAGTAAACCATAAGAAAGATAAAATGATGTCCACTGGCTCAAGCTAAACTCAGAGCTCTTCTGTGTTCGCTGGCTCAGAGTCTGATTAATTCAGCAGCCTAAGGTACATGACTAATAGTCACAATGGGCATTTTCTTTCATGCATAATTCAGTCTAGAATGTATTAATGACCAAATAATGCCTTAACTGATGGCTATGGATTCCTTGACACCTTTTATTCATTTTAAAAAGGAAGACTAAAGGCTGAAGGGATGTCTCAGCAGTTAAGAGAGGCCTGAGTTCAGTTCCTAGCACCAACGTCCAACAGCACATAACTACCTATGACTACAGTACAAGGGATTAGTACTGTGGAAACCCTCTTCTGGTTTCCACAGGCACTAACTGAAGGAGACCACACATAGATAAACAGAAAGAAAAGTAATGATACCAACCATTCAAGGATTTCTAAATACTATAGGACGGACATACATATAAACTCACAGAGACTGGCAGCATACACAGGGCCTACAGAGGACTTGCACAGATCTAAGCCAGATGAGGTCCCAGCACTGAGAAGAGGGGGAGTAGACACAATTCCCATCCTTAATGCAGAAGCTACTTCCAATTAGTAACCAATTGCAAAGGAATAACTGGTTTTATCCAATAGGGTCACACTGAGTATACAAATCACTTTTTAAAGGCCAGCCCCATGCACAGGAGCAGATGAACAACACAAAATGAACTCAGTGTCATCTTCTGGAGGTTCTTCATCTCCTAATGCTTTGCAGGGTATATTTTCCATACCTTACAGGTCTTTTGCATATATAATATGGTTTGCTGCTCTGAGATTTTATGGAAGTTCTGTATCTATAAACGTGTGTATCTCAGTGTCTATATGTATTTCTTATGCTTTGACTTTGGTTCTTTTTCTTCTGATTATTTTGTCTTTTTGTCCAGTTTTTCTTATTTGATCTTATTGTATTTTATCATTATCTTTTAGATGCCTT